CGGTTCCCTTTCAACTTTTCAGTCACTGGCGCCACTTTCAAACTTCCTCTAATATACTCATTTCTCCCTTTATCCATTCTCGTCACACCACACATCCATCTCAGCATTCTCATCTCTGCTACATGCAATCGCTTTTCATCCGTCTTTTTCAGAGCCCAACATTCTGACCCATACAGTAGGACAGGCCTTATCACTGACTTGTAGATTTTACCCTTCAACCTGAGGGGCATCCGTGGGTCGCAAGTTGTTCCAGTGACCTGTCGCCATTTCATCCATCCTGAGTTGATCCGATGTGCCACGTCTCGGTCTATCTCACCATTTCCTTGGATAAGCGAGCCAAGGTACCGAAAATCAGAACAGGTTGGTATGGGCGTTCCGGCGAGAGCTATGGGCACAGAACTAGAGAGACCGCCAAAATCGCAGAACAAGTACTCTGTTTTAGTTCTGCTCAATTTTAAGCCAACACTCTCCAGTCTATGCCACCACACCTCCAATCTGCTCTGGACCTCTAGGGCACTCTCGGCAACCAGCACAATATCATCGGCAAACAGCATACACCAGGGAGCCTCTTCCTGAATGTCCGACGTCAGAGCGTCCATTATTATCAGAAAGAGGTAAGGGCTGAGAGCTGACCCTTGGTGTAAACCGACAGCCACGTTGAACTTGCCAGTGGTGCCCGCTGCAGACCGGACTTGTGTACTGCAGCGACTATACATTGATCGGATCAACTGCACATACTTCCCAGGCTTGCATCTTTCTCCTTAAGGGCCCACCACAGAACCTCACGAGGTACCCGGTCGTATGCCTTTTCGAGGTCAACGAATACCATGTGCAAGTTTTTATGTGCACCTCTGTATTTTTCGCACAACTGGCGTATAGCAAATATGGCATCCGTTGTACTACGACCAGGCATAAAACCGAATTGGTTCTGTGAAATATCACTCTCTTCTCTCAGCCGCCGTTCAATAACTTTCTCCCATACTTTCATGGTATGCGACATTAGCTTTATTCCTCTATAATTGTTGCACTCAAGGACATCACTTTGTTTTTAAAGATGGGCACCAAAGAACTGTTGCACCATTCATCAGGTATGGTTTCTTCCTGCAACAATTTATTGAAGAACAAAGACAACCACACCCATCCGTCTACTCTTAATAACTTCCACACCTCAACTGGTATTCCATCTGGGCCAATGGCTTTACCATTTTTGATTCCGTTCACTGCTACTCTGACTTCCTCCATACTAACCATTCTCACTAACCCCACATTCACTGGTTTACTCTCTAAAACCCCACTCCAATTATTTTCCTCATTCATAAGTCTTTCAAAATATTCCTTCCACCTCTCTTTGATTTTGTCATTATCCGATAAAACCATTCCACTTTCATCTCTTACACATCTTACCTGGCAAACATCCCTCGCCTTTCTTTCCCTCATTTTAGAGAGTCGGTACAGCTCTTTTTGGCCTGCAGGACTGTCTAATGTATCATATAGTTAGGTAATAGTAATGTTCATGACATAAAATATATCGTTAAAGTCATTAACATGTCATTTGTTTCGTTTTAATTTGGGTTGACTAAATTCGGCCCAGCGAGCGTCGAAGGTTCCTATTTTTTTAAGGACAATTTCCTAATCATTCCAAACTAATTCACAAAACTGCTATTGAAGATATTTGCAAACCAAGCTTAGAGTTAGGTCAAGTAGCACTGCTAATTAATACCTACTATGGATATGCAATGCTCTTTTAATTATAAATTTAAAATTAAAAAAAAAAACCGACATAAAACCTAATATTCCTTTAAAAGTAATAATAAAAAAAATACGTGATGTTGGGGGACCGATCCGAACAATTTATTATATTAACTACATACAACAACACAACATTTACTACATATTTCTATTTTGTCGGGGGTCTAATTATTTTTTTTATTTTATATTCTTTATAGGTATTTTATATCATTTTCTATCGATTAAGTCATCAACATTCCCTTTCAGTGCGCTTTCATTTGAGACCCCACTCTAGTATACTTGCAAACCTTCGGTTACCCTTCCCAATATATAAAATGTATGTATTTATTTCTTACTTGATTCAAACCTCAAAACCTTACGTAATAAAGGCGCTTAATAAAAGTTTCACAGAATCAGAAGTAGAACTGATCAGAAGTACCTCTGTTAAATAATTATATCTGTTGAAACTGAGTATCTGCAATAAATTCTACTTACATTTTAAATATTTTTATTATGTTAACATTTATTTTCATTAGTGCAAAATGGTTTGTACAATATTAACGAAACTTAATTGGATTCAAATGAATTTAACATAAATACGATACCTGTTAACCTTTATTACCATTTTAAATGGAAATAGCAATAATATTTCCATTGCTGAAATTGTTAGCATTCTGACAGTCATCAATGGGATGAACTGACACATTTCTGGGACCAATTCCATAGTTAATGAAGCGAGTAAATATTAATGTAATATAATATTCGTTGTATTATTAACAGTATCAGTAATGTTTTATTCTACCAGTGCTTAATTTTCGTTTAAGTTAATATGATGCGGATGATGAAGACTGAATTAATAACAATGAAACCGAAGAGATTTGCGATAGACCTATTTTATTAGTCACAAATATTTCGAAGGTTTTTCAGGTAGCTGAACGCAAAGAAGGTTAAACATGATAACTAGTTGGATTTATTAATTTGTCTACGATATAATTAAATAATTATTCAGGTGGGTAGCGTGATAGATGGAATATATTTTAATGAATGCAGAGATTTAGTAGCAGACACTATCTTAGCGTGTATATTTTCAATGATATGTAGTCATACAATAATTAAGCTAGTGCTGTTCTACAGATGGGAGCATTTTATATTCCACTGCTATATGATTTACGTATTAACTTATATTTACGCATGCTTTTCAATTTCGCTTTTGAATTCATTGCATACTAGAGTTTGATTTACTGTCTCGTGAATAAAGGTAAATAATTGTTATTATATAATTTAACTTCGTATCAGAATTTCTTAGCAATTCTGGACATTAAGATTATGATCTAAAAATATTTTTCGCTTTTTATAGTTTTAAACTTGTGTGTGTTATTACTGTGACCGATAAGCAGCTCTAAGGATCAGACGCAATTTGAAAATTTAATAATATAGTTAGCAAGTAATTGTTTCTAAAAGACGTTTTCATGAGCCTAGAACTTGTAGTTACAGTATTTTTGCTAACGTAGCTTTACTTATTTTTTGGGACTGCTTCTTAAAAACTAACTTGATATTAAATAAACCTAGTTTATCTTAATGTTATAGCAACAATCCCTTTAAGATTTTCTTAAGATATTATAACCGATAATAATGTTGTGAAAATTCAAAGAAAGAGAATCCTTATTATAAAACTCTCATATTTTTACTTAGCCTAGTACCATAATATCAAGCTAAAACCTTATTAGCTAAAACAATGATATTTCACTTATTTCATTAATACTTAGTTTTTTCATATAAAAACTAAGTAGCAGCGTGGAGGCTACTTTGTATCCTGGGGTCGAGGTAAAGTTTTATGAGGTACGATATTTAATAAGTGTGGGTGAGCTAAGCTTCGGCACTAATGGGTCGGCTCGATCGGAGTGATACCACGGCCTCACAGAATACCGGCGTGAAACAACTACAGCGTTGGATTTCGCTGTGTTACCGGAGGCCCAATCCTATCCCCTTACTTCATCCCTTCCCGATCCCTAAATATCCGAAACCCTTAAAGGCCGGCAACGCAATCGTAACTCCTTTGGTTTTGCGGGTGTCCATGGGCGGCGCTGATTGCTTATCATAAGGTAATCCGTCTATTCGTTTACCGACCTATACCATAAAAAAACCCGAATCAACTCGAAATAATAACTGTCCATGAAACTAAAACGCAAGTAAAGACTTTCTCAGTCGTAAAAATTAATCGTTGTAATAAAAGTACAAAGAGTAGTGTTTATTTTCTACTTCACTATAACATCTTTATAAAGAGCTGACGCTGTTACCTAAATTGCAGTACATAGTTTTCAATACGTACATAAAGGATTGCAAAAATATATCATAGAAATAGCCTTTCCTAGAAATCTCATCTAACGGCAAAGGATACCTTACCAAATCTAATCCTCTAAGGCTCTATAAGGTCCAAAGGGAAACACATATTTCCTTAAATACTGAAACTACCGATTCAGTTAAGGTTTTCTGGTAGCGAAAATTTGTGGGACGTGGAATAAAGCTATTTAAACATAGCTGTTGATCACTATCTTATTTAGCAAAAACCTCGTTAGTTAAGCAATCTTGAGACCGACTACTATAGTTTAAAAAAATAAAGACGAGACCCACTAAAGTTTAATTCTTAAATATTTTACATATACAGGGTGTAAAAAGACACTTAACGAAGCCGTTAGCTACGTATACTGCAGTTCTAACTAAGTAGCTTTACGCTAAAATTATCACTGGGAAACGACTTTTAATTTTAGGTATCAAAAAAAAAAAAAAAATTTATTGCGCGCAATGTAAAGCAAACGGGCTTCGTGTCATTGTGTGCGTAGGTTCACAGCTTAGCATTAAAACGCTGTGATAAGTACGTAGGTCGACGTTTTACTTCGCAACAACAAAACAATTCTGTAAAATAAAAATCCTACTGAGATGCACGATGTTTTTTGTGCGGGTCTGCATTTATTTATTACGTACATTAATTACTGTTCGTAACTTCAAATGCGTAAATTATTTAGAAAAATCGAATATTCAGGTAATCTTTGTTTGGAAAAAAGTTTTGTAATAATACTTAGAATTCGATTGCGCAATAAAATAAAAAATAAAAATGCATCTTTGACCTTCAATATCTATGTCCCAGCTATGGTGTTAAAGAAAAAAATGATCCAAATAATGGGTAGAATACGTGGCTTTCGGCTTCGTTAAGTGTCTTTTTACACCCTGTATAAAACAAATATACAAGTAAAAAACCCAATTATAATACTGACCTTGATTGGTGGTCACTGAGATATCCTTGATCACGATCACGGACTCTATCCCTGGAACAAAACAAATCTATAAAACATCCATTACTGTACCAATAAATATTTAAGTAGGTACCAACTTAAATTCAAACGGTTTGCTAAGATCATAATGGAACTAGTGCCCGAGAGAGATTCACCCGCTTCTTATGGACGTGGATAAGAATTCAAGTGTACCTTGTAAGTCTACTGAGACACCATTTATATACGGTAAAGAAAAATATAGTGTGGAAACTGGACTTATGTTTAATCCTAATTATAAGTTTGAAATATCACCAATCTACCGCTAGTAAATGTTTTGATTTAATGTTTGCACCTTCTTCATGTGACAAGAGGCCTTAGTTTAACAGTTAGTACTTATATACATATATACTGACAAATATAATCTCAAACACGTTGTTGTGACTGAATGGCTGCAATACAGGCAATTTATTAACTACCTCTCCCCATTAAAAACGAGAACACAAGACATCACCTATTCCTAAGCTGATTGTTTAAAATTTATACTGTAAAGAAATTTTCTAAAGGAAGAATTAAAAAAATATTGTACAGTGAGTTAACACCTCATCACGCTTACTTAAGATTGTTTACCATAAACAACTTAGATTTTTCACAACCAAGAGTGTTTCTGAAAGGCTTGTTTTCTTGCTTCATTTTTGATTAATGAATCAGCAGTCTTTATTCTCAATTACATAAAATGGATGTACTAGCTATTTATGCTAAGAGCCATTAATATTTTGTCTCAACTTTTTCGGGTAGTACAAGACGTGTTATGATAAGATTCCGGTTGTGATGTGATCCTAATTTTTATAAGTGTTTAGACCAGCATGTATGTACATATTTCATGATGTGCTTATCTGTACAGATCGATGCACTGGTATTTAAAACTAAAGTTATCTATTAAAGATAGGTAAATCCGTTTCTACCAAGAAGAGAAGAGTGTTGAGATTATGAATTTAGTGAGATAATAGTATTCTTACGAATAGGCAAAAATAAAAAAGGGATTCACGTTTCACGTAGAATGACCGTTACAATGCTTTAATTTATTATGTCTGTCTTACAACCCCTCGGTAGAGAGAGGTCTGCTTTTACAAGAGAGATAAAGAAAACTGTTATCATTACTAAACTAGATTTGTTTATTTTTGTGTGATAAAAAGAAAATAAATCCAGTACCTACTATGTATTTTTTTCTACAATTTGATAATTTGTAAGTGAGCTGAACACAAAGAACTGCGTGTTTACTAACTTATAAATTTGGCTGGATAGGGAAATTTAGATTAGGTATTGTTCGAAGCATTAATTTTTAAATTTGCAGGAAAAGTTTTTATTAGTTCTACAAGAATATAGGATTTAGTATAAGTATCATATCTAGTGAAAAAAGTAACCACTCGAAATGTTCCTTTGCCAAATCTTTTGAAGATTGCTTGTTATATTTATTTATGTAAGAAATTACCTGGAGTTGTGGTCACTCAGGTAGCCGCGCTCCCGATCCCTCTCACGTTCACGCATCAGTTCATTTCGGTCGCTGAAAATATCATAGTGGTCAACTATTTTCAGAGCGGGTACATAGATAGTATTTTACTATATTTGTCACAAGATATTTGTGTATTTCGTATTTGTAGTGAACAACACATAATAATACATATAATTGATATTTACATTTACATAATAATATATTGATTAATCTTTTATGAGCTGTATAATTTTCTTTAGTAGGATAACTGAGGTGACCAAAAAATATCGTTTATTAAAAAAAATTTTTATCTTTATCGGAAAATGAATGGCGGGAAAATACTTTTTTTTACATTATATATGGCCAGTACTTAAACATGCCTTTTTGTATGCTAAACTTTTATAAATTATATCATTTTCACAATTGGTTTGATTCACTTCAAATTTTAATACTGGCCAAAAAAATATAGTAAATTGTAATTGTTACTTTTTTTTTGGCTTTTTGGTGGATATTTTTTTTATACATCATTATCATTGTGTTCTTGAAATTATTCCACATAAATTACGATTTCAAAGTGTGACACATTATTTTTCTTTGACTACTCATGAGTAAAAAAGTCATTATTCATTTTTGTGCGGCATTTTTCAAAATATATCAACAATGGTGTTCGTCTAAGTCTATTACAATCTTGTTATAATACTTCTTTGATTTTATTCTACTATTGTGATGGCTTTATGTAAGAAATTAACGAAAATTATATATAAATCGTATTGGCAAAATTAAAAAAATCTTGATTTTTGTTTATACATATGTCAGAAACATATAGTACCGCAATGACAGTTTAACTAAATGTGGTGTACGGGTTTATAAAGTTTACATTTTTTATTAGAATTGCAAGGAGTTCATTATTATTAAAAATAGAACTTCTTTTTCTAAAGTTTCCTACCACTAAATAAAAAGAAATGCCTTTGAGAATATACTTCACAGTACTGTTGTTAATCGATCGAAGTTTTTAATGATATACCGTTTACATTAATATGAAGTATAGTTTTTTTGTAAGTACCTGTAATATCCATCGCGGTCAGATCTAGCGCTGTGCTGTCGTTCCACACCAAGGCGATGCGGTAGCGGTAACGTTGAAGATCGGCTGCCTCCCCCGGAACACTGTGACGCTGCTTCATTCCAAAAAATCAGCACGTATTAGTAAATGACATTATTTACCTAATCGTATTTTTTTAATTAATAATAATTCCACACACATATTATTGACTAAGCATTCTTAATGTGTAGATTTTCTTTTTTGCGACTCGTACTTTATACCTTTTCAATACCTACTTGTGTAATATTATTGGATTTGCAAAGGTAACTTTTTCGTACATATATTGTCGTTGTAAAACATATCATAGAATTTTTATAATTTGAAATTTTTTACTTATTACATGTAGTATTTTTTCCATTAATTCCTTTCTATGTCTTATTTTTTCTCCTTGTAATGTATTTCTATAAAATGTAGTTATTATTTCAGCACATACCTAATTACTAAGTACAACTGCTTAGGAAGTCACATAATTTTCCACGGTGTTCTGTTATATAACACAAAACCACATATGGTCTTATTGCATACACATGTATGCACGACTCACCAGTTCAATAAAAATACTTTACCGTACAAATCTTCTCGCAGTAAGAAAACGATTGTACGCGTCTTTAAATTGCGAAAATATGCGATGCATATTATATGTATCTGCAAGGTGACTTAAAAGTAGGATGTCTTTAATGTCCCACTTAAAAGTCCAATAAATGTACATATACTTTACTAACTACATATGACTATAAAATAAATCAGCGGCAGTATAATCGATTATAGGGTAAGATAGTGTGTGTTTCAGACTATTATAATTATGGAGCAAGGCAATCCGTGTTTATAAATTTTGAAGCCCAAGTAAGTGCACTTCCACTTTACGCCCGATCTGAATCCGTGAAAATCTGGTCCGGCGTGGCTGTAGATTTATTTCTATGATAGTTGATGATTGATTTATTTTGTTTTTGTTAATTGTAGCCCTGTATTTCCAAAGTTTTGGCTTCGGCGTAGAGTGGAAGAGCCCTAAGAAATTTCTACCATTTATCTCTAATAATTTACTAGAATGGTGTCGTTATTGCGCCCAGTGTTGAATGTCCAATAATCTCAACCTTATTACAATTGGTCTCAAAACATAACTGATTTAGTAAAAGTGTTTAGGTATATGAAGGAATATCGCTATAATATTTCGGGAAACAATGGGCGTGACATAAAGTAAGTAAATATTAAAATTAATATATTACAATTGACTTACTCCACACAGCAAAGGATTAAAAAAACAGAATCAAGTACGTGAGTACCATGCTTTTCCGTTTACAAGAACCAAGTGAAAGTTTCATGGTAAAATAAAAAAACAGAACATTTAAAGGGTAAGGTGAATAGAATACATAATTAACATTCCAACATAGGTACATATTGCATAGATATACACGATAATGCAATGATACCAATCATACAATAAATAATTAATTTTTATCACCTCTGTCCCTTAACGCAGCCTCCTTAAGGTGTCTCAAAGACTGTAGAATTGATTCTTGGGTCGGTCCTCAACAAAACAAAAACAGGGTTGAAATTAAATCTAAACAAGGTTGAATTGTGTGCAGTTTATGTTGTAAAAATGTAAGTATTTTTATATTTAATTTATATTTATCAAAATTGGCTGCATGCTTTTATTTTGATAATTTAAAAGTGTTTAAAAGCCAAAGTATTGTAAAGTGACTGCCAGATGTTATATACTTACGTCGTCTCGGTGGATAGGGGCTTCGTTGATTGGAAGATGACACGTTGTCGTTGTACTCCGCTGAATAAGAATAAATATTCGAGTGAAAAACATCTTTTAAAGCTTTATGTCTAAAAATAAAAACGATTTATTTTTTTGACACTACTCCGTTCATTAAATTACATAAAACATTGTTGTTATAGAATATCAATGTTTGGAAAAAATATTTTTTTCCTTTTAAACATTTTCCAAAACAGCGATAGAAGATAATACGTTGATCTCGGTGAGTATATCATGCGTAGAGCCCTAATGCATTGTAGGAGGCAGTGAAATTAAATAAGAATCAGTGGTAGGAAGATTAACAGTCTTGGAAATGCAGACTACCACACACAACACACTATTCGCAGTAATAGGTATTGGATTGGCAGATTAATTTAGGAGAGTGAAGTGGTGGAGTGAAAGGGCTGTTGATTACTAGTGCTAACGCTTAATTTATGAAGGCATATTGAATATTGATAGATGAATGCCAGATACAGAAGTAGAATGAGACTTTATCAAGATGGGTTCTACGATGATCGAACAGAGAAGATTCAATAAGAAAAAACGTTGAACTCAAACAGCCCAAATTGTCACGAGTATGCTCTCAACGTCGTAACGTCTGTAGTGTTATTTTTGTAAATAAAAGACTGGTTGGCTTGACACCATTGTAACATATTTCTTCAACAATAAAGATCAGGTATAACAATAAAGATTAGGTGTAGTCTTTGTAGCTCGGGGGTTAAAACGCCCGCTTCTATTGCACGAGGTTGCTAGTTCGAAACCTGGCAAGCACCAATGTAACTTTTTCCGAGTTATATGTGCTTTCTAAGATTATTTAGATACCACTGACGGTACGGTGAAAGAAAACAAAAGGAGGGTGAGGTAACCTGTACTTATAATTTTTAATAATAAGTTTGAAATCGCCAATCCCCCTTGAGCAAGCGTGGTAAATAATGCTCAAAGCTTATGAGAAATGGGCTTTGCTTTGCAATGGGCACTCAGCTTATGATGTGTATGATGTCAAGATCAGATAACAAATAATAAAGTAATTTCAAAATATACATTCATATATATGTTTTATGTTATATTGATGCTTATCTTTATTAGACATTGGCGTTTATTTGAAATATTTATTGTATACTCAAGAAATATTGTACAAACTCTTACCCAAATCTTCCATGCTTTGACTAAGTAGAGCTTCAAAGGTGTGCAAGCTATAGCTCTCGGCATCCATGCCCTTAGCGAGAGTATTCCTCAGGTGCATCTCATACTCCAGCAGCAAACGGGAGGTTGGAGATCCAGGGGCTGGTGTGGCACTTGATTGAGAAGCTTGACGAGACAAGCACGGCTTCTGGGGAACATCATAATAAGTCACTGCTACTTAACGGTACAACGGTGTCGTGGTGGCCCGGAGGTTAAGGAGCCCGCCTCTCATGCATGAGGGCGTGGGTTCGAAACCTGGCAAGTACCAATGTGACTTTTTCCAAGTTATATGTACTTTCTATGATAATTAAGACACCACTGACATACGGTGAAGGTAAACATCGTGAGGAAACCTCGACTTATAATTTCTAATTATACGTTTGAAATCGCCAACCCGCATTGAGCAAGCGTGGTGATTAATGTTCAAACCTTCTCTGTGTGAGAAGAGGCCTTTGCTCAGCAGTGGGCACTTATGGGCTGATGATGTGACTTAACGGTACATGTGTCGAATAAGTCTCGTATTTTATAAATCTTCTAAGAAAAGACCACAATGTGTTTAGAATGAATAGGTCGGTGTTTTAAGAATCGAATAATAATTCTGCTAAAATAATTGGACTTGAAAGATCTTATTATTATATTCCCTTCGCTTCATCTTTAGTTATTATGGTACCCACCCCATGATGGTGTTGTCTTGAATCTCGGCGCTGGCAAGGCTCTTGGTCTGAGTTGCCATTTGATGATGACGGTGTAGTGGCGTAGCACTGGTTGTCAAACATCACGTTATCAGAAGGTGGTGACATGTCGCGTTCTCCACCGCCCAACTCCAGGTACAGGCCACGACCAGGGTATCCGCTGGGAGCTGCTCCAACTCCAACACCACGCCTATGTGCCAAAAATTTTTATAAAATTAAATCATCTTTATTATTATAAAAAATAGCTGGTACTGGTAAATATAGTAAAGCTCCAATTTATACTTTGAATGTCGTATAGGCAACAACACTTAAAGTATGTTATAAGAAGTATTTTCTACGACTCATTATCTTTTTCGCCAGTGAAAATAAAGCCGTTCGCTATCCGAACTACATCACTTTGTTTGCAACAAGCAAGATGGACAGCCACAATTTAAAGTAAAATAAACAATTGCTATCAATAGATCGTTAAAAATTTCATAATTGATATATTGGATATAATTATTAATTTATATTGTATTTTTAGTACGCTAAAATCGAACAGTAATGGATGGTTTTGGATTCTCTGAGAGAAAGTGAGTATAAAAAGATAAACGCTCTAGAAATCTGGCGCGATAATGCCTCATGTGGTGCACAACCTGGAAATCTTCAAGAGCTTGGTATAAAATAGCGTATTTTAGTGTAAGTAAGAGAAAGTCGACGGAACAATAGCACGTGGCAGGTCACTGCTGCGATGGACTGATTTCATTAAAAACGCACTTAAGGGTTCTCTTCACCAAACAAAAAAGGTTGCAGTGTGCAACCTACAGCAACATATTGTAAAGTTTGCCACCACACCTGACATGATGAAAATGATAACTCTGCTAACAGGTGACGATAATGAAGCAGAAGAAATGTGAGCGAACGTTTAAAAACATATGGAGCCCAACAGAATATAGCAATATGCTCATCTTCTATTTCGTTAGACGCATGACATTAAAAGATTTTACGATTTTAGGTGTATCGAGTTCGAATGTACGAAAAACTCAGTACATAGCACTAGTAGTACCAAATGGGACTTGCAATAAAGACGGGGACACCGAAAAGTATTCTCAATTATGTTAATCAATATGTGTTAATAGAACAAAGGTATTCGTCTGAGGCCAATACTGACTTATCGGTTCAGAAGTTAGATGGTTTTAGTGAAATAGAGTTTTTTGAACTTAGCAGAAGAGTAAATTAAAAATTTCGCAAACTCCTTTTACTAACTTGGTTAAGTTTTTGTTAACTGTTTGTTCTATTTTATTTAGTAGATATTAGTTATTTACTTACAGTTTCAATTGACTTTGAAAATCAGCAATTTACATATGAAATCATACCGTTGTGAGCTCTGTCGGCTGTTATTGTTGACGATGTGTGAGTAGTGTCCGTGATGCATGTGTTGTTGGTGGCGGTGCCCATGTGATCCGCAAGATGGCGGGCACGGAGCTGTACCACCGTATCGTCGCCGTCCCATCTCTGGTGATGTTACCGGGCTCTCTGTTGACGGCATTGGCTTCAACATGCGTTTCAGAGTGCTCGAGTCTACAGAAGAGAAACAAAATGATTTATTCATATAGCTTTTACTCATTCAGAACAAGAGAGTTTTAAATAGATCAATTTGTCATTAGTTTTGTAAATTCATTTCAAATAAAATAAATCCATGGAAACAACTGGTAAACCTTATTATAATCATTGACAGGCAAGGCCCTTTGTTTAATTGCATCGAAAATTTATATAAATAACGTGGATGTTTTTTCATATTTTTTTAATGAAAAGCTCGCTTTGTAGCCAATTAATATAATTTTAGTCATTCGGTATAAGTTTTTTTATATCATTTACTTCTTTCTTGATACTTCTAATGTAGATACTAAAGCTCTTCTTACCCATATTCATGTCCTCAGTACTCTTGGACTTGGTGCGTCGTGATCCTGATGTGTTGTTATTGATCACGTTGTGGTGATGAGCTGCATGCCGGTCCGATTCACGGGACTGAAAATTCATACAGTCCTGTTGAGTTTCAAACATTTATTATTTTACAAAAAGAGGTAGGTTGGCCAGCACGTCATTTTGTGAATCAAAATACAGTAGTTTCCAAGTAGGTACTCAAATTCAATACTGTTATTGAAATATCAAAAACAAAACTTTCCTATGAACTCGCAACATATGACGTCATAATGTTTTTACGTAAAATAATCATATTTATTTTTGAATCGACAGATTAAAAAACGAAAGTAGGGTTTTGTTTTTGTACTGAAAAGTCAATGTAATTTATGTTAGACCTAGGAAACGAACGATACGACACATTTGTGTGTGGCGGATTATATTTGCATTTAAAAAAAGAATACTAGGTATTTTGTATCCGTCTTTGTTATTTTGGGCGTGACGTGACATTTGTTTTTATTTCGCTGACCGGCGGATAATAATAATTCAATAATGGCATAATTTCTTCCATATCGTCATATGTCATATATTTACACACACTCCCGCACACGTTTAGAGAAGTTAGTAGCTTAATACATTTGCAAGTCATTCAATCATTACCCCCTATATTAATATGTAACTACTGATCTATGTATATTAAATTAATTACACGTACTGATTCGTTTCCATCTCCATAGTCGACGCTCTTGGGCATGTGTTGAAGGTGTTCCTTGCCGGAGCGTGTGGATGTAGCGGAGGATTTTGAGGAAGTGAGAGTGCCACCGGCCTGCACTCCCTCGGACTTCAGGTCTTGACTATGCTGTGTTGATGCTCCGCCGCCGCCCGCTTGAGTCTCTTCGTTCGTCTTAGAATTTGATACACATTGTTAATAATTTTAAATTATGTTCAATTGGAATACTATATATAAACTGGGGGTGAATTGAAATCTACCCCAGGTTGTATGGAGTAAGTAGAGAGAAGAATTTGGATTAATTTTTATTAGATTTTAGTGTGAGTGAGTATTGCAGTAGGATCGACCGGAGTGATACTACGACCCCAAAGAAAACCGGCGTGGAACAACCACAACGTTGAGTTTGCCGTGTAAGTGAGTTGACCGGAGGGACAATCTTTCTTCCCCTAACATTCGGTAGGGATTGGGGGATTCGGATTATCCATTCGAATCCTTATTTATGTTATACTCATTATATCAACAATCCCAAAAGTTTCAAGTTAGAATTAAATTGATGAATTAATTAACTTATAATTGTAAACAAATACTTTGAAGAATTGCTATTCGAATCTCTGTAGTAAAGTAGAACGAAATAAGATTTAAATTCTTGTGATTTGTACAAACACTAAATAAGCATCATATATCTTGATTTGTCTTACATTAGTGCCATGAGTTCCCACTGAAGCAGTGACAGTTTTAGGTGCAGTCGATGTGTTGGTAGTCATCGTCGATGTTTCTTGTGACTTCGGAGGTCGTGTCGGAGGCTGTGTGTCAGTTTGTCGTGATGCCGCTGTAATCAAAAAATACCAAATTTTTAAAACTGCAGCTTACCGAAAACAATGAAAATGTAGAATTTTACTACAAATCTGACAAAGTTATGCATTAATTATCAATTTCATTTTACTTATCTAGATATATTTTAAACAGACATGTGTCCCTCAACATTGAAATGCATTAAAAGTTATCCTAAAATAAACAGATCTTTTAAAAATAACGACTTACTGACGTCAATTACCTCTGAAAAGCTGTACCAGTTTCAAGTCACAACATGACTCTTATTCATAAAAGCAGTTGCAGAACGTCGCGCAGCCAGTCGCAAGTTTTCTCTCTTAATTCGTTTGAGTAAGCCGTTCTTTACAATAAATGTCTCACGATAATAACTATTCAAAAACTGATCTTCATGCATTACTTATGTAAGTATATAATTTCTATGTATCTATATAAATCATACTGACGTTTTGGTGGTGGCTGGTGAGCAGGCTGCGAGTTGGATACGTTGTCGTACAGCGAGGTCGATGAAGTGGCCGCAGCAACCTTGTCGGAGCGGCCGGCCGTGCCCGTAGCACCCGCATCTGTCTCAATCGCACGTGTTGTAGTGCGTGGCAGAGTCGATGAACCTACGCCAATAGTTCCCATTTACACAAAATCTTTATCATTTGTGCATAAATACTCGTCGAATTGAGAACCTCCTCCTTTTTTGAAGTCGGTTAAAAACATGTGCTTAGTTGTTGGATACACACATGTCAGGAGATTTTGGGAACATTAAAAAGGTGTAACTAAAATATGAATAGGTATATGGCATAATTTCTAAAAATGAGCATAACAGGTAGTTATTGTTTATATAATTTTAAAATAACAAAACATGGTTTGAATGGGAATTAAATATGTTTGTGCGGCATAGGTTTTTGGGATTTCATTAGGTGTATTAGTTTGTAGGAATATATGAACGTTTTATACTCACGATATCGCGGATCTTGTGCTCTCAGCCGGGCATATTGTTCTTGTGTCATGCATGTGCATTGCGGCTCACGTCCGTAGGTCAGACTATAAACATAAATGTTTATTACTCACAGACTTTATGGGTATAAAGGCTTAGCCTGCTCAGCTGTATAAACCTAAATGTTCTGTACAGACTTGTCCTGTGTCCACACTTACATTTGACTCTTAAATTGAGCAACTAACAGTGTTTCTATAGGATTGTCTACTATTTGCCATATGGATATGGGTTGCGGGGCAGGAGCAATTAAGTACTAGCAGAAGAAGGGTCTTCTCATCCAACCACTGCCAGCCACCCTGCGGATGTCGTCAGCTATCTGGAGGGACAACTAGCTGGAGGGCGCCCTACACTACGTTTGCCTAGAGTGGTTGAATGAGAAGAGCTGAACATCGAGCTCAGTGGCGTGCAATTGGGGAGGCCTATGTCCAGCAGTGGACGACAACAGGCTGATGATGATGATGATGATGAGAAGAAGGGTCTTGGGTGAAAGAAGTCATTTGATGATGGCGACATGATTTCCCACCTCTCCCTTAAAAAGCCATATGTATATCGAAAGAGTTGCTTATTAATCAAAGAAAACTAAATAATAGAACTGTAAAGTGTTTCAGTTTTAGCAACTTCACTACTGATAACTATCAAAACTTTGATGTGCAAGTTTAATGGTTTTGACCAAACATCAGATATTTCACAGAACATCAATATTCTAAGGTTAATAAACATTGTGGTTTATGTCCGTCATAAATGTCATTTACATACCTAGAAGTTGTAATTAAATAGAATCGTTGACGTCATCGAGTAATGGTTTATTATTACTACACGCTTTGTAAAGATTTAAATGAAGTTTTTAGTGAAACCGCAATATATGGCTTAAAGCCAAATAATTTTGCTCTCGTTGAAAGAAATAATAGTTCTCGTATATTGAGTTAAAATTTAGTTATACATACACATTTTTAAACAACTCGTTTATTTTATTTTCTCAAAAATATGGGATTATAAACTGTTCTGTTTCCCCAGTCTTCTTTCAATTATTTTTTAGTCTTACCACTTAAACTATAACATCGCATTTATTTTATAAAGAAAAGTGTGCTATTTTATTTTTCAACCCGCTAAGAGTGATACAATATGTTCTATAAAATATAAATGTACATTACCTTGATCGATTGGGACTGGCAGGCGTAGAGAGTGGCTTCCTCTTGGCCTTGAACTTTTGCTTATTGCCAGGAGGCTCCAGCTTCAGACTGTAGCTCGATGAAGCCTTGCGGGAGAATTTGAATGACGGTGACTATAATAATAAAATATGTTAATTGATTATAAATAAATTCAGGACTGTCTCGGGTCTGATATTCCAGATCTCACCTTCACTCTACCTATGTATGTTTTGGGAGCAAAAAGAACATTTTCATCCTCTGAATTTTGTTTCGGCATTTATTCTCAGAGTAGTCAGATAAGAAATGCCGGCTTCATCTAGTTTTTTTACATATCATTATGACATGTAAACGTATTGTTTCATTGTTTCATTCCCTTCGAAATACTTTTTTAAGAAATGAACCAAAAGCCTATTTTGGAGATGTCTGTAACGTACATATATTTTAGACTGAAACATTCGTCTGAGTCACGAGATAGCCAGTTTTTCTATTATTTAACATTTCTTAGTCATTAAAGTCTGCTATAAGATATCAATATGATATCATCCTTTTGCAACAGTAACTTTAAATACTTACGCAACATTCTCTAAATTGTTTGGCATCAATGGGAGAAGTAAAGTTGAGTCCCCACGTGTCGTTTGTCATGGGATCTTTCCAATACACGAAGCATTCGGACGCCTGCCCGATTCGAGTGCCTGAAAAAAGAAATTATTTCAAAAATCAATATTACATGAGATCAAATTATTATCACACATTAAAAGTATATTAATTGCTTCCAAATAACGATCATTATTGTGTCAGGATATTTTAGTAATTACTGAGTGTTTAACAACAAACAAAAAACAACAGATAGTTTCGAACTCTCCTCCAGCGAGATTTAAAATCACAAGCAGTCGGCATTTATATATTCAGTTGTTTTATTTAAATTCGACTCAACTGTTGGTGTTGCATTATGTAAATAAGAGTCAACATGAATCTGAATAAAATAGTGGTTGCAACAGCAGGACTGGTGTAAGTAATAAAATCAATGAATGTATGTAGTAGCATGTGGTTTTCATACTGTTTTTCGTATCTCAATTCTAAACATGTTCAGCAACAACTCAACTGTTGCTATTACAGGGCTTGTGAAGTAAGTAAAGTAATGTTTGGGACGTCGGTACGTTCTGTTGAATTCGGTCGATTACTCTTCTAACTATCCAGTGTAAATTTAAAACTAGGTTAGAGCCGCTGGCGTCCGTCGTATCTGCCGAATTGCCCCAGTAAAATGTAGGTGTTACTCTGTCAGTGATCTCCGCGTTTGTTACTAAAGCGTTTATTTCGGGAACTATTTTTACGCCCGTAATGCATGTTATGTAACTATCATAAATATGGCGTTAAAATTGAATATTGCTGTTGGAGTCAGTTTCGAAGCCAAAAATGAGTAAGTACTACAAGTAATATAGCGTGTTCCGTACACTTTCAGAATCCCTTTTAGTGATTACAAAGAAGTTTTGCTACAATTTAATACGTTACAATTTAATAAATGTTCTTTCTAATCGGAACACATCTGTGAATACCTACGACACACGAAAGTAATAAAATTATACAAAGCAGTTCGGTTATACGATCAATATTTACGGCTCTAACAACTTCGAACTAACATTTTAAGATCAACAGCTATATCATCCCACAGTACACATTCGAAACGTCCAGCCTACGCCTAAATATTACCACGAGCCCATAATTTGTATACAATACATCAACCCATCTTAACATAAGAAAGATTTATGTCGATATTGCATTAGCATGACTATTTTTAGCTGACTATTATAAAAGGCGATTCGAGTTGCTTCACGGGTCGTATTAAAATATATAAGGTGTGGGCTGAAGAAGCTGCAGAGGAATCAATTTAACAATTAACACGAATATACATAAAAAGGAAACCTAGCATGCATTGTTACATTATACTAGCATTTTTCTTTGCCCTTTAAAACATAAATAACGAGAGTATGTATTTCTGAAATGTTGAAACATGTGATCATTCAAACGAAGCTACTCATCAATTTTAAAGATCCAGTTTATCAGGGTCTGACTTTGTATAATCTTTCCGCACATACAACAATCAGTTTATACTGGTTATAATTAGCTTGATATTTAGCCGATAAGTAAACACCTAGGTACTTATAACTTTTCTAGCTATACTTATACTATGATTCCCATTTGTAATAATGTCAACAAACTTATCGTTTACCTATGAATATTCGTATATTAGCTGTTGCTGACTACATTTGCAAAGTGTAAGTTTGTTTTTCACGAAATATTGGCAGAGATATCTCTATTATTTTTCTTTACGGTGATTATATTATAAGTCCCATCGAAAAGTAAGAATACTATATTTAGCATGTACTCAGAGCAATTATTTTAAGTTTCCTATTTCTTAAGTACTTGATCTAGTTATCTACACTGGAAACGCAAGCCAAAAACCTTATCTTTCCGAATTATTTATTAAGAGATATAAAACATAAACATACCGGGTTGCAGTAGTCTAACGTCGAGGATCTTGTCGACCTGAGAGTTGTAGGCAGTGATATGGAACACGCACTCGGGCGAGTCCTGGATGCAGGTGATGTTCACAGGTACCAGATCTTCCGACACCTGCTGCCACTTTACAGTGCCTGCACCGCTCGCAGATACATGGAAAACCTCGGCCCATAATCTGAAACGAGATATCGATTAGGAATATCGGCAAAGACCAATTACTAGGCATTATTTGAATGTAACAAACAATAATCAAGCATTTAATGTTTGTCAAATTAAATTATACAAAAACAACCGCACTAAGTGGAGTTTTCTTTTACATTAATCAAAATAGAGAATTTCTAACAAATATGCTATTATATAATATGGCAAAAAAGCTATTGCAAATATGATTTAAAAAAACATTCTGCAATTAATACAAAGGAAGATGGTTACGAACGTATCAAAAAGAAAATCAAAACTTTTAAATAAACACGTAAGTACTGTCGCTACATTCACATAAAATGTCGTTAAAACTTCTTCCACTCCGTTCGGCTGCATAAAGTTTACTTAGAAACATGTTTGTAAGTAAAATTAGAACGAGTCGCTTTGATGCAACCAATACAGTAAGCGTCATATATTCTGTTTACATTTAAGATGTGTGTACAATGCGACTGTTTTACTCCGTAACAACAACACACTGGTGACAGCATTAATTTTGATTTTTAGACCACAAAGGTGAATTTCGTTTTTAACACATCCATAGATAGGAGTAGTGCATTAGATGGAGTGTAATATTAGTTAAAGCTTGTACTTACTACAATTATCATCGGAGTAAAATCATTTATTTCGGCCAGTTTTGTTATTTGCGTTTTTTACTGCAGATGAGGTTAATAACAAATAGTTCTTAAAACCCTATGATCTCATCGCTAAAGCCGAAATTGGCCAATGATCTCTATCCAAAATCTTAATCATAGACATCGTTTTCACAGTTGTAGTTTAGTCTATAAATAGTGAGTCAATTAAATATTTTAATAGATCGAAAGATTTCGCATTAAGGTCTGTTATTTATACTTTTAAGAGTTACAAAAATACGTTTAACAGTCAGACATCGCTCATTAATAAACTTATTATTCTAAGCAAATATTACCTTAGCAAATGTCCGTCTCTTCGTCGTGAGTTCTGCCACGGGCTGTCTTCATAGCGGTACGCCTTGCGCAAGATGGGCGCGCAGGAGCACGACGATAGCTTATTGCCCATCGTGCGCGTGCCACACTCGGCGCACTGCACTATGCTGCCTGCAAACCAACGATCGTCAACACCCAAAAGAGATTCATTTATTTTAAGTCCATGTAGAGTGTACCTTATAGCTTGATAACTAACTTAAATGCGTGTTATAGTGTTTTCATGAATAAATATTAATGTAACTAAAAGAAAATAATAAAGACAGGCCATTTTTATAGCGTATGTTATCATTATTACGCAAGTAATTAGTCTTCTGAAACTCATAAGAATAAGCTACCTGCTCTAAACAGTCAAAGATCTTGTAAGAGTAGGTCAGACATCTTTTTTATGTCCTTATGCGATATTTTTATGTACTTATGTGTACAGAAAAAGATGTTAATTTCGAATGCTAAGAATGTAACCTTGACTACAATTAGTAATACATTTTTATTTTGTTATATGTATTTGATTGCGATGTGTGATAAAGCGAAGAGAGAATTTATCGTGAAAATTGTCCATCATTAACTTGACGTCACATTAAGAATCTCAAGTGCCTACATGTAGGAAGGTAGATTTATTCTGATGAAGCTTATCATCGCCTTTAAGAGGTCAAGTACCTAACTAATTATAAAAAAAACTATTTTTTAATGTACGCTAAATAAACAAATAAACATGACCAGGTTTCAAACTTGTTTTACATTAACAACACAATGTAGTACGCCAAAGTAAATTTAATCAATATTTCATTTTAAAATAACAATAGAAATATTCCACACTTATAACGTCCTGAAAAACATTATAAGAATCTCTTAGAAACAAGAAACGTCTGCACATAAGTACGTACTCAGACAAATAAAAATGGATACAAAAAATCGACCAAACCTGTTCAGGAAAATATTTGTTTGGTGTTTTATTGTTTTATTTTGCTTTCGTTACCTTATGTGAGATACTTTTCTGAGACTATATATTTATATTTGAATAAGTAATGTGCATTGATGACCAATTTACCAAGTTCCAAATGGGTTACTTACAAATATGTAAAGAATTTTTTTTTTAACGTTGCCCCCCACTATTATTTTCTCCTGTGTCGTGGGTGCGTTTACAAACATACAAATTCCACATGCACATCACACCCAGACCCGGAACAACAACTTGGATCACACAAAGAGTTGTTCCGTGCGGGAATCGAACCCGCGACACGTTGCGCGGCAGCCAGTTGCCCAGCCACCGCGCCAATCGTGCAGTCATAGAATATTATATATTTTTTATTTAAAAGAACAATAACAATTTAATTTCAATAAATTCATAAGTGAAACAACTTGATGACTCGCTTTTAATTATTATGTTCTCGTTATGAAGAGAAACGGATTTATCTGGTAATAAACTCAAACTGGATATCATTACTATAGCACAGGTAGCCCAAGGTTCCACCAGATACCTTCTATTATTCTTCTTCCTATTCCTATTATTATACTTCTTAATTTCTTCAATTATAATGTGTATTTATCAGTTCTATTATTAAATCACCCCGATAGAACCATAATATTGTATAGTAATTACCGAGTTTCATGATAACATATGAAATAAATTAGAAAATTCAGATTCTTAGATTTTAATTGTTCAAGGTCGACCTAATGAAAGCGTGTCAAAAAAGTAATGTGATGACAAAATATTAAATTATTACAATACCTAATAAACCTTATGATTCCTCAACATCATGAAGTGTTAGTCAAAGTTCTCTACATATGATGGGATGACTGTGAGTTGGTAAAATTATGACACTAACTACCTACCTGTCTTAAACTTTGACAATTTAAGTAAAAAAATATCGCAACGTCATGACTAGCTCAATCCTATTTCTAGTAAGTAGATATCGATGCATATTTTCGTGTTCGGCTAATTATTATTCAGACTCCGAGCTTCTGCCTGCACTAATGGCTTCCATATTTTAAATTTCCATTTTGGGAAGCTAATATTACTAAGTAACGTTTATTTATAGATATTTTGTTACCACCATTGGGATGTATGAACGGTATAAAATAACCACAGACGATGATTAAAAAGGTTTTATAATTTATTGAACTAAAACACCTGTAAAATAAAAAAAATATAAGTTTAAATATATTTCATTATTTATCAATTTCTTTAAACGACATTTATCATTTTTATGTTGAAACTGAAAGGAGGTTTTAAATATTTCAATGAATGCTAGAATTTTGTTGTCTTTCGTGCAAGGAACCATAATTTTAGTAGATTTTTCAGTAAATTAACAAAATCTGTTTTGAAAACAACGTTATGTTTAAGCGTATTATTCGTTTTACTTCATAATTGTTTTTCTTTACATTATGTACACGTTAATTTAACATATACCTAGTGACGATAGAAACGTGTGAAATAAATAACTCTATCAACATTGCCATCGCATGTCAATTCTTGGAATATTCGAAAGGTAGCGTTTAGGATTTTTTATTCTTCGGCCTACGAAGATCTGAATGAAACTTAAACAAATACCATTTCGGTAAAAAGGTATCCTAAGACATAGTTTTTTTAACCTGACATTCAAATAATAATTAAAATACCAAGGTTATAGTAGGTATGAGATAATTATAAATAATGTAGCTGCCTCCTTACCTAAAACTCATCTGAAGCAAGCCCTATACTAAACTAATAGCAGGTTCATTCTCGTCTAATACAACTTTGGCTGCTTAAGCACACTACGGCATTGCAGACAAGGTCTTGAACATGGCTCTGTCAGTCTATCAATGTAAACTAGTCATAATGGGTGTAGAGTACGGTTGGATGGATACAAGTGGATAATACTGCACATGAGTGGGTGCGTGTGCACTCACCCGCGGTCCCGTGATGTCACCAGGTGGCATCGGTGCGCGAGAGCGAGTGGCCGCGGTTCAAGCTCTGCGACCGCTGCGTGCCGTGTCTGTACGGGTGTTTCACAACGGCATGCTGCAACCCACAACACAACCATCTTGCATTCTTACACAACTTACCAATATTTACACTCAACACACATGTTAGCGTCCAACGCAATCTTCATTGCCAATTTCTTATTAGTGCAAAAATCGTCTGATAAACAAATTCTTTTTTCTGTTAATTCATTATAAAATTAATATTTTATACAATCCAAGCTTGTATTGTCATATATTATACATATATTTATTTAGAAATATTTTATTTTAGGATATAGAAGGAAGAATAGAATATTTAATTAATATACGTTTATTTAGATATGATTTTAGATGATATATCAATTGATAGGAAAGGGATGTGAAACGATATAAAAATATGTGCATGCATGAAAACAAAAAAATATAATACACAAACTACAAAATCATAGACTACATTAAAACGAGGCCAGAAAGTCGCAAAATAGCTTTTATATTCGTTTAATTTTTTGTTGATATTTGTAGGATTAGTAAACACCCACAATTTAGAACACATGGGGTTTCGAAAGTGTCAAATTTGACTTACTGTAAGGCTTCACCTGCCTTGCTTAATCACTTAGTTTCACTATCTTACTAAAAATACGCTTTATGCCCAGTTTCTCGTAAAACGTAGTAATCGAAGTGTCATTGAGCGTTGAATTCTATCCAAGTTGTACATAGACAGGTGAGTCATTATTATTAAGTCATCTTCAACTGACACGCCTTGAAGTTAGCTAACTATAATTGTCATATATTGCATCATCATATATTGAAATATACTATGAAGTTGTTTGTAGTATAATTTCATCTATAATAAGATACAGGTGAGCCTTCCAACCTTGATCATAAGGTAAAACTTTTCGACCCCCTACGTCGACATAGGTCGTCACTCTCTTTTCACTAAGATGCAAGTTTTATGAAGCAAGTTTCATTAGATACGGATCAGGTGGTATTGCGGGGATCTCCGAAATTCTGGCTGGGGGATTTCGGGATAGCCCTTTATATAAAACTCGGTATAATATTGACATAAATCTTTTATAATAACTATTTATTTCAGTTCTTTATAACAGGCGACAATATTTTGACACGTTCGTGATGAAGCCATAGGAGTGTGTCAAAAACGAGTTCACTATCGCTCTGTGTGCGTTATTGATTGATACTACTTCAGTTAATTTCATAAAAATAGTGCAATTTAATTAATTGTAGTCCTACGCAATATTATATTAATTAATATTTACCGATTAATTCATGTTAAGTGAATTGCAAATAAACCCCCAAATAAATAAATAACAGTATCAGTGAAATATACTGTTCTTACTTAGTACCTAGACTATTGATAGATGTTCGAGTCTATCCTATCAAAAGGTAATTAAAATTCTAACGCCGCATTTCGATCTCCACAGCAGTGCCTTCAATCATGTTAGATTAGACCGACTGTATGTGGGTCAGCTCAGTTTGGCTTCTTATTTAAAACTGGCTACATATACCTACCACCTACTTATATATATTACTTGTCCGTTTTAATTAAACGTTTCGACACTTGATTACCTACTGCTAGTCTCATGTTTAACTAATTATACACCTTAACAAGTAATTATTTAAGTGTCAACATTGAATGTGTGATTTTGTAATGTGTTTGTTACTTTACTTGTGTATATCTTTATGTATTTGGTGTACAATTATAGATTAAATGTTGTTTGTAAGCTTGTCAATATTATCACAGTACCACTGAACTGTATCACTATGTTATTGCACTATGACCCAGGCTAGTCAATATGGCGTCTATAATAAACATTAAGTTAATTGTATCCACGATGGCCAAACCAATCTTCATGACCCCAGTTCGTAGGTGCACTTCTCTGCCGTCAGCGCGTCAATAGATTTGTCTTACGTGTTAGTTATTGAGAAACGTCTAGCGTAGGAAATGGGCATATACTACATATAATAACACAACGAAATTTTAATACATATACTCATAAACATAATACAATATTAATACTTACTTAATTATACAGGCTTAGCTTGTTATCATATTTTAATATTAGATATTTTAAACATAACGTGTGAACATGCAAATACTGATTGCTCGATATAAAGTTATTGTGCATGAAATTTTAATTATGATTTCACATAACGTTAATTTATCATTATTTTAGTGGCAAAAACGCCCCATAATACAGACATTCACGAGGGAGGTAGGGGAATACAAACACTCCATGTGCAAATCAATTTAAAGGTATTTACGAACCTCGAAATTGTTCCAATTTTGCGAAGAAAATTTAGCAGCTTCCACGCTTTCTTTAGCACCCATATTTACGAAGTTGTGAAATCACTCGTATGAACTATGACAATTCTGTTTCGATGCGTATGCTCTGAGCTCGTGACACTAATGTGCACTACGGCCGGTCTCTCTGCGAGAGTCAGCTTTAATAAGCATTTAAATACCTCTATCTTCGGTCGTTCGCAAAGTTAAAAATTCACAGCGTTGAATAGTAAATGAGGGGTGTAGTATGTTGCAGCGAGCAGCGCACGGGGCGCACAGGGCACGGGGCCGCTCGAGCCACGGGGCCGCTCGGGGCTCGGGCAGCGCGGATGCAGGCGCCGCGTGTAAACACCGCCAGCTGCTGTGCGGCGCGCTCGCTGCGGGCCGGCAGCACGCCCGCACCCTCGCCACCGGGGCCGCACCGTCCGCGACCCTACTGTCCTACGAGCGACCTCACTACCACCGGCAACACCTAACACTTTCGATTATCTCCGGATATCTCAAAGTGCGCAGAATATAATGTGCGGTGATACGTTTTTGCGAACGGTGCGGCAGGGCGACACCGGCGGCTCGGCTAAACGTCAGAGCAGACTGGGTCGCGATACAAGCGTGCGTGGCGGCGCTGTGTGCGCACAGCAGCGCCGGCCGCCGCCGCGCACCAGCCGCCCGCCGAAAGCCGAGACGCAGCGACGCCCAAACCTAGCAAACGATACGGTGGCCAGCGCCCTCCATCTCATCAAGATGTGTTCGACCCCGTGTCTGTCTAACTTTATCTCGGCTCACTTCCTCAATAAAATCAATCTTTAGTGAAAAAATGAGGAGATGTACGCCTTATACGAGTTTGCATACGAATAGTATTAATAACATGTATCGAGATTAAGAAGATCATCAATGGACGTTCGGAGCGGTGCGGCGTGGGGCGGGAGGTGCGCGCGCACTCTCCCCGAGACAACATTCGATTTTGGTCCATGACTGTTGGATGCTTACTGTGGCCCAACCAAGGCTTTAATAGTTCATTCTAGACTACGACCGAGCACACGACTATTTGATCATTTTATTTATTACATTTCGAAATTCTATTATATCCTCAACCATCAAACATACCCCTGTTACCTAAGTATCTAACACAAAACACGCCATGTCACATTAACTTAAAATAAATAACACATTAAAAGTCAGTAATCACACGAATTGGTTCATCATCTTCAATATTGTAACTCAAATAACACGCCTATACAGCATGAAATGGTTCATCAGTCCATCGTACTCACGCTCATAATGCGCAGTTCTTGGTCAAATATTATCTCACATAATAAAATATGAGTTATAACTATAGTATAATATGTATCGCCAAAAACCATTAATTATTATGATCTTCACAATAAATCGGAAAACGCTACACTATACATATTAACCTTCTCATACATTACTCAAAAATATAGTTTAAAATGTCTTGTCTTTATCACAAATATACATTACACACTGGAAATTGAACAATGTAGTAACAGTATTTCAAGCAGAAAGCTATCTTGGTAGTCAGCTGTTAGGAACAAGTATGAAAATCGGGATAGTTTCGCGAGAGTAGCAAAAATTTGGAAAATTAGGTCAGCCCGGTGCACAGTTGGTTATTTTGTTAAGAAGCCTAATTAAACATGAAATATGGAAGGCCAATATATAATGTTTTTTATCTTCAACACTTTAGTGTACATACGGTTTATTTTTATAAGGGAAACAATAATTATTTTATATTTTAAGTGACGCAAAAATTTCGTTACTCCTTTTCCTAAAATTACACAAACAGAGTAGTCCGAAATTTAATACGGTTAAAGTTTATACGAAAAAAGAGTACTGAATGCCAATATTTTTGTTTTAATAAAGTTTAAAACATTTATCAAATCAAGTGAAATGAAAAAAACTGGCTTAAAACATGTTATTTTCTTTGAATTGAAATGTCAAAGCATATAAAAAATGAAATATAAGCATATACAATATTGTATATTGTAAAAAAACTCGTACTAAAGTACAATATAACTCAACCAGACCAGGTTTAAAATTTCAACAACCAAAATAATACAGAAACAGAATTGCAAATCATGTATTAAGTTCTACGATGTAAACATGACATGTGAATGCGTACTACACTAGCATCGAAAAAGATACCTATAACCTAAGCTGCCTTCTCACTTTCTACCGTATTAGCCATTGTCTATGATATTCCCTTCACAGGTGTCAATGTATTGCGTATCTATTGTGTAAGGCACGCACAGACAGCGGCCTTATAAAAGGTTTCTACTATACACTTTTAGAGTACTACGCGTGAACCAGACAGTTTTAATAGTATACATTAGTATGTTTATAAATTCTTAAAAGCAGTGAAATTTAGTATTTTAAGCATGACTATTGAACCTAATAGATAATAAAATTAAGATTTTGGAATCAAAAAATGTCATCTGCACTATCCTTTTGTAACACTCGTTTAGGATTTTTTATGGAAAACATATTTTATAAAAGCAACGTTGAAATATTTTTTTGTAAATAAAACGAAACAAATCCTATTTGTTTGCAATTTATTGGTGGGAATCACCTCTTCATTGGAGGCAGTGATACAGAAGTGATATAATTGTATAAAACACAAAACAGAAGGCCTTTTGTTTTCACGATATCGTGAGGCCGCACTCAAAGCACTCGCCCCATACAGAGTGGCGCCGCGAGTAGGTCAAACATTAACTATGATAACTGAAACCAGTATGGCAACTTTGTATTATCTTGGCCAAGTAACTCGTGGGTAGCAAATGAGCAGTATAAATGTCATTTGTCTCACAGACGACGACGCTACTGTCGGTAGACTATGTCAAATATTAAGCTAATTTCGGGCTCTTTCAACTTGTGTAAACTTTTGCTTCCTAATTCAATGTGTGCAGTGTAAAATATTATTCGTATTTATCCAAACTAATATTATAAATGTGTAAGTAACACTGTTTGTCTGTCTGCCTTTTTTTCACGCCTAAACTACTGAACCGATTTCTGTGAAATTTGGTTTTGGAAAAACAGACATAGTATAGTTTTTATACCAAAACTCTGCAGGAAGTCACTATTCCACCGGAGCGGGCAAAAGCTTATAAATGTTTTTTGTTGTAAAAACCCCATTAAAACTTTTTGATTTTGTATGTTTTTTTAACAAACCATAGTTTATTTTGTTACGTACGTTTTCATAATCTAGTGGTAAGTATATATGCATTTCAGTGGTTTAAACGAATCGTAATGTTAAATACCAATAATACTGTACAGTACAGTATTATCAAACTGATATTGCAAATAAATATACCGCCTACATAGATTTCACGCACTATAGTTACAACCTTTCAATATATATGCGTGGA